GCCTTTATAAATTTTATCTTTTATTACTTTAACTTATATATTAATTAATTTTTTCATAGGAAATCCGAATCAACCCAAATGGGGACATTTGAAACAACTTCATGATGTTTTACGTTCAATGGAGTATACTCTTACTCGTGGTGATGTTAAAAATATAGATTTGGGTAATTCTATTTGGGTAAGATTAATTTTTTTAAACATTTTTATATGAGTTTATTTTGAAGAATATAGTGTATTATATATATATATATATATGTGTGTGTGTGTTCTAATATTTTATTAATTTATATTATTTAGGCTGCTGTGTATTCAACAAAAGAAAAATCAAGCTGCTTTTTGAGTAATTCACACAACATGACAGACGCCGTAGTCAGATTCGGAGGAATTGATTACAGTGTTCCAGCATGGTCTGTTAGTATTCTTCCTGATTGCAAGGATGAAGCATATAACACAGCAAAGGTGTATGCTCAAACTTCAGTGATGGTAAAGAAATCCAATAAAGCTGAGGATGAACCCAATGCTCTGGAGTGGGAGTGGAGACCAGAAAATATTGAAAAGACGGCGGTGCAAGGGAAGGGAGATCACCATGCTAACAAGATTATTGATCAAAAGGCTACGGCAAATGATGCTAGCGACTATTTGTGGTACATGACAAGGTAAATCAATCATTCTCATTCAAGTATTTTTCTTTGCATTTATTTTTTCAATTTTTTTTTGATCTGCTTTATTTCTATTATTTTTGGTAGAGTCGAGCTTTCGAAGGATGATCCTCTTGTGACTGAAAAGGCTACCCTTCGTGTAACTGATAGCGGTCATGTTCTTCATGCCTATGTCAATGGAAAATACATCGGTAATGAAAAGATTCTTTTTTACTCTATTTTTTTATATATATTATTGATTGTAATATTTGATATAATTTTTTTTGTTTCAAATTTAGGTTCTCAATGGGCCAACTATAGCAGTCAAAAATATGTTTTCGAGCGTGAAGTCAAGCTAAACCCTGGAAAGAATTTGATATCATTGCTCAGTGCCACAGTTGGTTTACATGTATGTTACCACCCACCATAATTGTTTCATAATTTTGATATAATAATAATAATAATAATAATAATAATAATAATTGTTACGCTATTTAATGATTTTATTGACATAATTGTTACAGAACTATGGCCCCATGTTTGATTTGAATGTTAACTGGAGTTCTGTCTCCTGTGGAATTGGTTGCTCACAAAGAAGATGGCAAAGTAGTCAAAGATTTATCATCACAGAAATGGTCATATAAGGTCGGGTTGGATGGAGTTGCAAACAAGTTGTACGAAACAGATTGTCCTTCAAAGTTGAAATGGGCATCGGATTCCATTCCCGTTAACAGGAACTTGACTTGGTACAAGGTAATTCGAATGATTTGCAGAGTCCACCAGTATTGTTTATTGTGATTAGTTTATTGATTATTTTTAAATGCAGACAACCTTCAAAGCTCCATTGGGAAATGCTCCAGTTGTTGTGGATTTACTAGGTTTAGGAAAGGGCCATGCTTGGGTGAATAGTCATAGTCTGGGTAGGTATTGGCCCAGTTATATAGCTAATGAGCACGCTTGCAAGGCAGAAGCTTGTGATTATCGTGGCCCATATAGTGATAAAAAATGTGTCTCTAAATGTGGTGAGCCTACTCAGAGATGGTAAGCAATGTTTGACATAAATACCCGGTACTATAATTTTTATTCTTTTGATTTGTAAAAGATGAATTCGATCCCTCACCGTCTAAATTTTGTTGTTATTTGATAGGTATCATGTTCCAAGATCATTCCTTAAAGACAGTGAGAACACATTGGTTTTGTTTGAAGAATTCGGGGGTAATCCTTTTAGAGTACAGTTTCAAACTGTTGAAATCGGGACGGCATGCATAAATGCTCATGAGGGAAAGAAGGTGGAACTGTCTTGCAATGATCGACCAATTTCAAGAATTAATTTCGCTAGCTTTGGCGACCCACAAGGTGTGTGCGGAGCCTTCAAGAAAAGCGAGTGTGAATCAGAAGTGGATGCAGTGTCCATCCTTGAAAAAGTAAGTTGTATAATAATTTTTTTTACTTGTTTAAATATATTATTTCTTTTCAAATCACAATGACATTAATTTTTCTCGTGTAATGATTGTTAACAGGAATGTGTTGGCAAGGAATCATGTTCCTTCGAGATTTCTGAAGAGAAATTTGGAAAAGCTTATTGTGCTGTCAAAAGGCTAGCGGTGGAAGCTGTTTGCTAGGATTTTACATTTTGGTGTCTTTGATTACTTAGTTCCCTCTTTGAAGCATGTAGGACGTTTAAGGGAATTAGTCTGTTTATTTTTAGTTTATGAGGTAGTAGGCCTAATATGAGCTCAGTGTTCTACAAAGTTCTGATGAATATTTAATGTTTTAATGAGATTGCTTTTTGGCTTATGCCGCGTGAGATTGTTTTCTTCCATTTTGTTCTATGAGCCACAAAGTTGCAAAGCAAGAAAAATAGAAACTCATCTGGTTTCACAATGTTAAAAGTTAGTAACGTTTCCAGCTTGACCATATTGTTATCCGAGGAAATTTATCTTCTCTAACTGATAATCATAATTTTCAGGATTCATCCTTTTTGTAAACTAATAGATGGTTCAAATTTGTGATCTTACACAAAATCCGCAACCCGATTTAATGTCAAAAGATCATATTATGCCCAAATATAGAAAATTGCAGAAAGAATGAGTTGTGCTGATCTGAACAATTGGATAGTTTTGGTTGATGGGGTTTATAAATGCATTGATGTTCAGCTTAGGTGAATTTAAGCCACTGGCTACCGCTGAGAAAGCTTGTTCCTTTTTCTTTTTTCCTTTTATTTTCTTTTCTTTTCTTTTTTATCTTTTTCTTCTTCTTACCAGCAATGGTGTTTGTGCTCCCTCTGTCTTCTATCATTCACCTTCATCATCATTGGGAAAAAATAAAGAGTAGTGTACTTCATTAAAAAAGATGCCAAATAATTGGATTGGGTTTCTTCTCCTGGCTGCCTTAGCATTTCTGAGCTCATGCTCAGCAATCAAGGTTGAATATGATGTAACTGCCATTATCATTGATGGGCAGATGTAAGATTATCAATGCTGGTGCCATTCACTATCCTCGCAGCACTGAGTAGGTAATTTCTGTTTACTATATGAAAATGAAGAACAAACTTGCAACCACATTAAACCAAAACAAAATCCTCAAATGGCAATGTTCATTTGAAATAAAAGAAAAAAAAAAGTCTGCTAACTATTCACATGGAACAGATGTGGCCTGATCTGATTCACAAGGCAAAAGATGGTGGGCTCGATGCTATTGAAACATGTCTTTTGGGATCGCCATGAGCTTAAACGCCGCGAGGTCTGAATTGTTGTCATAGAATTATATTACATATGTCAGATATTCCTGACTTCCCTTGTGTTTTTGTTCTTCTTTCAGTATGATTTCTCAGGAAACTTGAACTTCATAAAGTTTTTCCAGCTCATCCAAGAAGCTGGTCTCTATGCCATTCTGCTCATAACATTGGACCTTATGTCTGTGCTGAATGGAATTATGGGTAAGTTTAGAATACTAAAAGGCATAACTGTGATTATTATAGTTTTTTTTCAACTTACTAGACGATTCTTTTCTTTCAATGTTCATTAATTTTTGATTGTAAGCATTCTAACAATTTCATCAGGAAATACAGAGGGAAATGGAAATTTTTACGACCAAGATGGTGGACATGGTCAAAACCACCAAGTTCTTTGCACCACAGGGAGGCCCTATAATTCTTGCTCAGGTTTTCAAAAATTCCAGCAATATTGTTTTCAGTTAATTTATGTAGATAGGTAGCAAGGGTATAATTATTAGCTAAAATGTTGAGGGTTTTTTGCTATATATAAACTATGACAGATAAAGAATGAATACGGAAACATCATGGAAGGTTATGGAGAAGCAGGGAAAGAATACATCCAACGGTTTGCACAATGGCTGTAGCCCAAAATGTGTGTGTTCCATGGCTTATGTGTCAACAGGCCGACGATCCTCAATCCATGGTATACTGATTTGTGCTTAAAGACAAATTGCAGATTGAATAAATCAAGAACCATAGTGTAAGAGTGATTGAATTTGTTTTAGTAACATTTTTTTACTTCCTCTGTGCAGACCAATACCTGCAATGGATTTTACTGTGACCAATTCAGGCCAAACAATCCTAAAAGCCCAAAAATGTGGACCGAAAACTGGACTGGATGGTGTGTTTCCCTTCCTTTGCCTCTTTCATTGTCACAGACCATTTAGACCTTAGAAGTCTTAAACACTGTATCCTTGCTCTCTTAGGTTCAAACTTTGGGGAGGCAAAGACCCACATAGAGCAGCTGAAGATCTCGCATTTCCAGTTGCACGCTTGTTCTAGCTGGGGGGAATCTTAAGTAACTATTACATGGTTGGTCTCATCATGTTAATTTCATTTGAGGATTTTCAACTGGCATATTTTCTTAATGCTGTTTTCTTGTCCTGTACAATTCAGGATTATGGTGGAACAAACTTTGGACGCTCTGGTGCAGGTCCATACATTACTACATCATATGATTATGATGCACCACTGGATGAATATGGTAATCAAACATAATATAATTAACATGTTATTTTTGCTGATTCTGCATCAAGGCCAAGTTACACTTGGTATTCTAAAGTAGATGTTTAAACCAAGATTGGGCATTGTTAGTAAGCTCAATGCTTTGAAAATCAAACCTCTGAGGGAATGTTAACCAGCCAAAGTATGGACATCTAAAGCAACTTCATGCGGCTCTGAAAGTTGGGGAGAAAGCTCTCACTACTGGCACAGTGACAACCAAGAATTATGGTAAAGATGTCGATGTAAGTGACAACTGACACATGTATAAAAGAAAATGCTCAATCTGAGGTGAAAGGAATGTTGTAAGTTTCTCTTGGCAATCAGTTGACCATGTACGCCAACAATGCCACCGGAGAGGGATTCTGTTTCTTGAGCAATGTAAACGGCCAAAATGATGTCGGTGTTGGCTTGGACCAAGATGGGAAGTACTTTGTGCCCGCTTGGTCTGTTCGTATTCTTCAGAATTGCAACAAGGAAATTTACAACAGTGCAAAGGTAAGAGAGATTGATTTCGTATATTCATTTCTTCCTTCACAATTACCGTATGAATTTGTCTAAATACTCACAGGCCACAGCCAAAATAATAATGCTAACAATGGATATATTGTGTATACATTATTGTCCACAGCTTAGCTCTCAGACCTCTGTAATGATAAGGAACTTAAACTAAAAGGGCAAGACTGAGGATGCGAATGGTGATGCAAACGAGGGAGATGCTGAAGAACCTGAGACAGAAGAGCAAGCTCCCAAACTCAACTGGAAGTGGGCTCCAGAGGCCATGAGAGACCCCCTCCAACGAAAGGGTAGATTTAGAGCAACAGTTCTTCTGGACCAGAAAGAAGCAACTTTTGATATCAGTGACTACTTGTGGTACACGACTAGGTAATTTCCTAGCCTCAACTCTACCATAATTATTCCTGTGTTTCTCTTTTTCAGGGATGGAATGATTGATGCTTAATTTCTGTTTTTTTGTTTAATCTAAAACAGTGTTGATATCAATAACAATTTGGAAATCCTGGAAAACTGCAACCCTGCGTGTCAGCACCGATGGCCATGCACTCCATGCTTATGTGAATAAAAAGCTGATAGGTAACCTTGGTCCGGTGAACCGGTGCAACTGGTTTCAGTTTTCTGTAATGATAATTTCCTTCTTTTAACTCAAAATTTGATGGTATGATAGGCTACTAATTCTCCAAGCAAGCTAATGGTCAACTAATGGTCAATGGTGACGATTATAGCTTTGTATTCGAGAAACCTGTTTCTCTCAACCCTGGGGCCAACACCATAACTTTACTCAGTGCCACAATTGGATTGGCGGTACGCACTTTCCCACTGCTTTAGTAGAAAAAACAGCTAAATGATCCTAGCATTTAAGAAGTCAAGTTCACAAGCATTTTCATTTTTCAAAGACAATTCCAATCTTTAAAAATAGTTGAAAACAGGGTTGTTGACATTGCTTCAATATCGGCATGCAGAACTGTGGTGAGAAGTACGACTTGAAACCCACTGGCTTAGTGGGGGGCTCAGTGCATTTGATCAATGGGAAACAAACGATTGATCTAACATCAAGCAACTAGTTTTATAAAGTAAGTTTCCTTTTTCTTTCTCCTTCCTGTCTCTTTTTTAATTAGAATTTTCAGACAAAGCACTCATATTAGGGGTAAACTCATCTCATTGTTTCTGTGGTGAAGGTGGGGTTAAATGGTGAAGTAGCCAAACGTCTCTACGATCCAAAATTACTCCATGGAAAAAAACTTTGCTGCTGATAACTTTCCCATTGGCAGACCCATGACTTGGTATAAGGTACTACTTGATCAAAAATGGTCCTGAAATGTTCTGTTTTCCCTTTTTTTCTTTAGTTCTAAAGAATCTAAGCTTTCCACGTGTCCAGACCACTTTCCAGGCTCCTTTGGCTACAGAACCAGTGGTGGTGGACTTGCAAGGCATGGGCAAGGGGCATGCCTGGGTGAATGGATACAGCATTGGGCGCTACCAGCCATCGCAAATAGCTGATGCTAATGGATGCAGTGACACATGCGATTACCGTGGCTCATACAAGGACGACAGATGCAGGACCAACTGTGGCAATCCTTCCCAAAGATGGTAAAACACTCATTTGCTTAACAATATAGGATAACGGACTGTAAATTAATGAACTCCAACCTCTAACTATAAAAGTGTTATCCTTGTATCAGGTACCACATTCCGAGATCATACCTCAACAGCAAAGAAGCGAACGCATTGATCTTGTTTGAGGGAATAGGTGGAAACGCTACGGACATTTCTTTCCAGATTGTGACAGTAGGAACAATTTGTGGTTATGCGTATGAGGGCAGCACATTAGAACTGTCATGCCAAGGTGGGCGAACCATTGCGGGAATCCAGTTTGCCAGCTTTGGGGACCCCCAGGGATCATGTGGCTCATACAAGGCAGGTTCCTTTCAAGCCACTGACAGCTTGGCTGCAGTGGAAAAGCTAATCATAAACATCGATCCTCACAATCGAAATATGAAACTTTTCACGATGCAAAGGAAATTATATTATAATTTAAAGTTTTCTTTTCTAGGCATGTGCGGGGAAGCCAAGCTGTTCCATCGATGTATCAGAGGCAACTTTCGGATTGAGAAATTTGGGCGTTACAAAGAAGTTGGCAGTACAAGCTGTTAGCGGTTAAAATATATACGAAGCGTCAGAACGTAAAGGAGGAGATACAAGAAGGAAACTCACTAGGATATATATGTCTCGTAAAGAAATGTGTTTGATGAATGAGTGAAGCCGTAACATGTCTCCTTCATAATTTAACTTTACTTGATGGCTTACCCTTTCTCTGGGAACTCCATTCCTCACCTCGACGTTTTGTAAAATCTCAGAAAATTGTGAGATAGAGAGAGCAAATGAAGGAAGAGAAGATGAAGAGAGGAAAACGTTTCTTTTTCTCACACATTTTTCATTTCATGTAGAGGTTATATCCCTCGATTACGACAGATTAATCGATCCCATAAAAGTCGGTCTTGGTAAAAAAAACTAAAACAAATTCAATAGCAAGAATGCACAAATACCAAAGCCTGCAATGGCTATTACAACAGACAGTTGAAGAAGAAATATCAAAACGATGTAGACTTATGCGTCTCAGCTTGTATGCAGAATCGACACATGAACAATTCGTTCTAGCCAACACAAGTCTGACCACAATACAAAACGACTCAGTCGCCACCGTTTAATCAAAAATAGAAACAACTAAAATTAACAAGTCTTCATCAACACTGAAACTTCTGTTAAACCCGCCTAATGTCTTTAGCATAAGAAAAATTCAATCAAGTTTCAATCACTTTTCAACAGCTGGTTTAAACATCAAATTTCGGAGATAAAAGGCAAAAATGGAGAAAAATTCAATTCCTTGCCTGCCCCATCCTGCCCGAGAGAGGGAGAGATTATCAAATGATAGAAATATGACTTAAAGGCGTCTAATAAATATTCATCTAAAAAGGAAAGTTAGAAGAGAAGGTGCATGGTATGGGTCCTACGGAAGTCAGTGATTCTTTCCCACCTGTTGCTAGCTGTCAATTTAACAATGGGAATTGGTGGTTCATCGACTCCTATAGAGCCATCTAAGGATTCACCTATTCAAGTTGAAAATAATGATCAAGGAGACCCAAAAGTTGTGAAAAGATACTGAAATCTGTGGTCTGGAATCATTGTAAGAGGATCAAAATCAATTGAGAGGACAAAGCAGAGTGCAATTATTGGATCAAAAAGCAAGAATGGGACAAAATATTTGCATGATCATTATAAAATTTTGTAAACTAAGGCCTTGCAAGAGTGCAAGGCAACAGCAGTGCGGAGGCAGCTGGAAAAATGTGTATAAGTAATTACACATTTGATCAAGAATCTTCCAGAAAAGACCTTGCTAGTGTGATAATAAAGCGTGAATATCCAATTTCAATGGTTGAACATTACCGATCCAAAATCTATACAGCTAGTCTTCAGCCGTTATTCAAGTTTCCTTCTCGCACTACACTTAGAAGTGACATCATGAAGATTTATGGATGTGAAAAGTCTAAGACTGTGGAGTTGTAGGAGAAGAGTTCAAGTAGGATTGCAATGACAACGGATATGTATACAGCTTGAAACCAATGGAAAAGATTCATGGCTATCACGGCACAATTCATTGATACTAATCGGGATCTGCAGAGTCTGGTCATGAGGTATATGAAAAACTATACTTTGCCAAATTCGATGATTTATTTATTAAGTTTGTTTAGCCTTATAACTCGCTGCCTTATACTTGTTACATTTTAATTTTAGATTTGTTAATGTGCCTGCCCTTATAGATCAGTTGTTCTCTCCAAGGAGCTGCTGAATTGCATGTCTGATTGGAACATTGACAAAGAAATTGTCCACGTTGATTGTGTTGATAATTGCTCTTTATGGCCAAGCTTAATCCTAATTATCTCTTGCTATGCATTGTTGTTTCACTTGCTTTGCTGTTGCACATATTTTAAATTTGATTGTCCAAGATGGGTTGAAGGTTATTGGCGATGGAATTTAAAGGGTTAGAGATAGTATTGAGAAACAATTTTTGGGAAAGTTGGCTGAATATGAAATTCAAAGGATTAAGAACCTTTGTTATGACTTGTTGAATGAATATCAAGGGTCAGATAATACATTGGTGAAATCTGAGTTAGACCATTATTTGGAGGAGAAAGTAAGTTTGGCGTAGAAATCCGAGGCTTGACATAATTGCTTGGTGGAAAAGTGGTGAACTCCATTACCCAACTTTAAAAGAGATGGTAGATTGGTAGGTCCTAATCGTAGTAGGCTTCATGCGGGTACTCTAGAAGCCTAATGTGTGCTCAAAATTGGTTGTTGAAAGATATACAAGGTAAGAATTAGTCAATTCATTACCTTACTATTTTATCAAACTTGAAATGATGTTTTCCATTTTTTAAGGTGTATGTTGGAAATAGAATGATATGTATTAATTCCATTCATATTGATACTTAACTTTGTGTATTAATTACCCTTTATTCTCTTTGTTATACTGATAATAAGGTGTTTCTTATTATAATTTAAAGAGGGCAGGCTGTTTGATCATGTGTCTAAAAGCTAGAGATCTTCGCATGCAGGTTTCCATGGCGATTGCAACTCTGTGTGAAAGCAAAGCAAAAGGCTTCCAACGGAATTTGCAAACGTGACAATCCCTCGTCCCCATGGACTTTGCGGTTATTTCAAGTTGGGAATTTGTACAAGCTACTCAATCAAAGTCAAGCCGCAGTGGAAAATGTAGTTAAAACATTCAAAACCAATCTTCTTTCTTTCCAAACTCGAAAGAAACATTGTTAGGTAGTTCAACGAATCTTTGCTTCTTAAATACTTTGAACTCCATTGTCTTGTGTTGGAAGAGAGAATTGTCATTAAATTAAAAGACACTAGCAATTTCATCGAGTGGCTACACCAGGCCAAGCTTTTCTCTCTGAGCCCAAAATAAAGAAATATTTTGGATGAAAAATTAGAAAGAAAAAAAGGAAGAAACTATGCATTTCAGCATATGGCAATTCCAATGGAACACAGATTGTTGACAGAACCTTTACAGATACTGTACATCTGCAACTCAATTCAAATTTGCAAAATTGAGCCGAAACACATATCAAATTGAAAGGCAAAACACTATAGAAATCACTTCAAAAACTCCCCATTAACTTTCCAACTACAAACCTATCAAATTCGCATACACTAACGTGGGATTCAAAACAAAAAAAAAAAAAGGAAAGAAAGAAAACTCCTAGAGCTAGAAAGTCCAAAAACCAGACGATTGATAACAAGTTCCACCGGACCCATCTCCGACACTCCCACCACCAAAATAACACTCCCCGTAAGAATTCCCACCCGCCGCCATCTCTTCTTTCACTTCCTTTTCTTCAGTAATAACCTTACGCGCGTGCCTGAAAGCTGCTTCCTGGATTTGAGCCGGCGGCAACTCACTAGCGTCTGCTATATCCGGAGGATTATCAGGAAAATTAAGCTTCCCCGAACTCCCACGCAGACAAAAAACCGCAGCGTCGTAAGCTCTAGCAGCTTCTTCCGCTGTCTTGTAAGAACCCAACCATATTCTTCCTCTGCTGTTCGGTTGCCGTACTTCCGCTACCCATTTCCCCCACTTCCTCATCCGTACTCCCTTGTAACGGGTGTTGCTGTTATTATTAACGCCGTTATCCCTCCCCCTTCCCGGCCTCACCATTTTTTTCCTCCTCGCTTCCTCGAATTTCAAACTCCTTTTATATTTAGTTTAAATGTGGCAATATTAAAAGTAAAAAACAAAGAGGAGATTTGTAAGAGGAAAAATGGGAGACGCAAAGGACGGAGCGCGTGGATGTTTGAAGAACTGCCACGTACGCAACTAAGGAGGAAACACCGCCGGAATTTTTCGTTGACGGGGGTTCATGGGGTCTCGACGTGGAAGCTTATAAACCGTCGGATTTAAATCGGTTCAACACGTGGGAGTGTTTTAATTGCATCTGTGATAAGCGGACACGTGGAGCGTGTAGGCCATTTGCTTCTATTTCCTTTCCACTGTCCAGTGGCTAGTTTTGTTTCTAGAAGGTCAACTTAAACTTTAAACATGATCACTCGTGTTTGCATACCATAAAAATATCAAATACGATTATATATGAAATGCGTTAAAATTAAAATAATAATATAATTAAATTTATTTTTTATTATAATTTATAATTATAAAAAAATAATAATAACATTAAATGTAACAAAATAAAATTGAAAATTAAGATTTGGGTATGACATAATTATATTATTATTTTTATAAAATTTAAAAATTTTATTAAACTAATTATTCAAAATTATTTAAGTAAAGTTAAAATAGTCTTTGATTATTAATTTTTTACAAATAGATAAATGTGTCATGTATACATGTTTAAATATGATAACACGATTAAACACGACAACATAATTAATTAAATATATTTTAAATATATTACTCGTGTCTCAAAACATTAAAATATAAAAAAATTTATATCTTAAACATGTCAAATATAATTAAATACAAAATATGTTAAAGTTAAACTCAAACATATTTAATATTATATTTTTTCATATCATTGTTAACTTGTCATATCTAAAATTGCTAAGTCTACTAAATTCATGTATACCAAAATTTGAGGGGATGAATAGTTACGTGGCTGTAGGTTTCGCCCAACATGGCCTGGGTGGCGGAAAGAATTTCCGTGTAGAAGCAGCGAGCAGCCATAGGAACAGTAATGGATAAGAATTGTCATTGCCTTTTGTTATCTTCTGGGGAGGCCCTGGTTTTGCCAATTAGCTCAAAGTTGGCATTAGATGGAGGCTTGAGTTGTCTTTCATTCAATAGATTTTTGTCAAATCTATGGTATCTCTTGAACTGATTCGGACGACTCAGTGTTACTTTCACCGACTCGGCATCTTCCTCCTAACCATAAGAAGTTCCAAAGATTTAGGTTCTAGATTTTGTAGCATGCATATTTTTTTTGGGTGCTTGTTGCTTTTTGTTTGTCCAAATCACAAAATAATTTAGGACGAAAAGATTTTACAGCGCCGCATTTTTTTTATTTTCTTCATTGGCTTTTGTTTCGTTATTTGTCAGTTTTTATCTTTGATAACGATTTGAAAATGAGTGAATATGAAAAAAAGAAAAGGAAATGCTCATGTATCGTCTAGTTACAATTAATAAAATCTTTTGACGATCGTTTCAAAAACCTATGATCAAATCATATTTTTGTGGAATATTGAATATATTTTTGCTAAATATTGAATATAAAGCAAAAGGACATTGAATATAGAGCTAATATATATATATATATATATATATATATATATACTATAAATCTAACGAAAAAAAATTAATTTTTTAAAATAGAATAAAAATTATTAAATTAAATTTTAATTGTTAAATTACCTTAATGTGTGTATATATATATTCAGTCTATTATATTCTTTTTGAAATATCTCAATTTATGTATCAATCATTGTAAGTAAAGAAGCATTTACTATTTTTTATTCGTTGTGTAGAAATCAAACAATTCAAGAGAAAATGGGACAGATTGATATATATAAATATATAGTTCTAGAATCAACTCTACTCTTCTTATTCACTCTCTTAAAACATGGAAGCTCAACCATTTTTGTGACTAAAAGTAAAGAGAGTGAGTAAAGCTGAAACTATAATTGAAAAGGATTGACAATTACTATGATATTTTTTAATATACTATATCAAAATATTACTATTTTATATCTTAATCTGAACAAGTATACTCTTAACAATTATCATAAAAATAATAATAACATTAAACAACAAATAAACATAAAATTTGAAATCATAAATTTCACGTACATTTCTTTTCATTTCAATATATATTTTTTTTCATATGGTGCCTTCTGATTCTTTGTTCAAAATTAATATTCTATGAATGACTTTTATTTTCGTAAGGGATTATAAAAATATCTTTAAATGTAAATAAATAAATAAATTTTAAATTGAGGATATTTTGATTAGTCATTATATCTTGATAGTGATTGAAAATGAGTGAATATGAAAAGAGAAAAGGAAATGTGCATGTGCCATCTAGTTAAAACTGATAAAATCTTTTAATGATCGTATCAAAGATTGACGACCAAATCTTACTTTCGTTGAATATTGAATATAGAGTGAAAAGATCACCGAACTGTATTTCTTTTAGATACACAAGAGATCTAACGAAAAAAGAAGGAAGATATTGTTCAACCTTATGCAAGAATTAAAAAATATATATATAAATAAAAAAGTCATATAATTAAGCATCATGCACTCTTGAATTTTCACTCTAACAAAGACATTGCCAAAGTTATATGCCAACCATGAAACTCAAAGATTCTTTTGTTATCAAATCTAAGTAAGACGAGAGGTGTATTATTAATTTGGCCCATAAGTTTCTTCAACTTTATTATTACTTTCTTTTTGAAATATCCCAATTTTATTGTAAATGAAGAAGCATAAAGAAAATATCTATATATAGTTCTAGAAGCAACTTTACTCTCCTTATTCACTCTTTAAGAACATTGAAACTCAAAAATTTTTGTGAATAAAAGTTAAAAGTATTTAATTCATCGATTGATGTATGATCATGATACTTAAAAGTAAGATTTGAATCTTTCTTTTTTCAAAATAAAAAAAAAGTAAAAGTAATATCATTAAAGATTGTCTCATAGAATTTGTTAAGATAATATTATATTTGTATATCATACACAATGGTTAACCATTAATATGATAATTTTTCATATACTAGACAAAATTATTAAGCATAAAATTTGAAAAAATTGTAGGTCTAGTAACTAAGTATATTTAAGATTGGATTTCTTCAATTTTATGGATAACTACAAAATGGGATATGACATTTTTGTAGGTACTAAGTAGAAAGTCTTTAGTTTTTTTAATCAAATGTCATGGCAGCTTGGGCCCTGCAGGTACGAGGACAGTCCAATTAACTTAATATAACCCATAACAAACATGTGGCATCCATTTCAGTAGCCGAAGTGACATAATGATCAATTTGTATTAAAAGAAAATCTAGAACAGTAATTGTTCATTTAATTGAACCAATTACTACAAAAATTACCAAAAAAAAAATCCACAATGCTTTACTTTACATTCTTCTTCACGATTAAACTATACTTAGAAACAATAATTTGACCTTTTTTGAGAATGAGAAAGAACGATGGACCGTACAAAAACTGGCCCATCCAAAAACCAGGATGCAACTCTGGATACTAAAATGCCCAGAATTTGCCCTGACGCGCTTTAGAAATTCCACAGAAAAGATTCTGGGACTAAAATACCATCAATATTATCCTCTTCAAAACCGATGTTGGGCACCGATGATCCGAGAAAATCACTTGCCAAATCATCAAATCCAGGGAATATGCCATAATCTGAAGCATAATTATTCGAACCCATTGTCAAAAGATCCAGAAACGACCCGTCCATTGGCAACTCACTGTCCAACTGTACTGTCCCTTCTGAAATCGACGGTGATGAGGACTCCGTTTGAAACCCAGAGGTGGACTGCTCCGAATGGGTCCTCGGAGGCTCGGTTTGGGCAAACCGAGCAGCGGCGGCTTGGATTTCGGGCGGGGTTAAAGACCTGCCACCGGCTATATCCGGCGGGTTGTCAGGGAAGTTGAACTTAGCAGAGCGGCCGCGTAAGCAAAAAAGAGCCGCGTCGAAGGCACGCGCTGCTTTCTCGGCGTTGTCGTAAGATCCCAACCAAATCCTTTCCCTGCTGTTGGGTAGTCTGATTTCGGACACCCACTTCCCCCATTTTCGCTTTCGCACACCCTTGAATCGTAAATCGCTTCTCTCAGCTGCAGGTCTGTCGCTTATGTTTTTCACCATTCGCTTGCGATTTAAATCAAAGGAAAGAGAGAAAAACTGGGTTGTCTTTTGAGTATTTCTTTGCTTCGCTTCTGTCTTCGAAATTGTTAGTAAGTAGCAGCAGTACCGTTTTCTGTTTGCAGAGGATTGCTTTGGTTTGTTGAGTTTGCGAAGAGGGGAATTTGCGGCTCTCTTATATATATGTGAGTGGGGGAGGGGAATAGGCTCTGACTGTCATCAGTCAAAGAAAGAGAGGCGCGTTGATTTGGAGTTTGGAAGCCGCATAGCTTTTAAGGACGGGCACGTGGCGACTGATGGAATAGCTTTGGCGTTGCTACGCGGGGAGAGTTCGGGCAATATTTACACCACGTGGGCCTTGTATTACTCGTGCCCGAATTTCCACCCTTTTTTTTAATTATTATTTTAAACTTTAAATCAAGGGAGAAAAATGAATACTTTATTGGCCTTTGAATACCAAAACGATGTTGCTGCATCACATGCTTGTATTAGTGTATATTTATTTTTATTTTTTAAATTTATTTATTTTTTAAAAGTAAAAATCAGATTAAAATGAGATTTTAAAAAACTTTTAAAATTTTTTTTAAAGAATATAATTTCAAAAAAAAACTTAAATAAAAACATCAAAAGTGAACTTTCTCTTTTAAAAAAATATATATCAATTTTGTAAAAAATAATCATCTCTCTCAATTAATTTCCCTTTTCTCTCATTTTTTTTGCAAATCATCATTTTTCATCGCAAATCGTGATCTCTCTCTTCTACCTCTTTTTACAAAAATTATTAAAAAATAAAATAAAAGATCCAACAACATAATAACAAAATTTGAGATTTTTTTGCTACAATTTATCTCTCAACTCAAAATCGTAATAATTTAATCTTTTTAATACTTCTCTCTACAAAGATGATTAGGAAAAAAACAAAAAACCCAACAACATAATAGCAAAATTTGAACAAATTGTTGTAGTCAAAATAACTCAACAGTCCCTGTACTTAATGCATTTTCTTCACTTTAGTTCCTCCACTCAAAATTGTAACAATTTATCCTTAAACTCAAAATCATAATGATTTAGTTATTTAATATTCAGACATGGTATGTTCTCTCTAAAAATAGATTACGTGCTTACTGAACTTTGAACCAAGACCTAATGCAAACACAACAAACTGCTACTTTAAACCCTTACGTTTGTTTATATATTGGTTTTGTTTCTTTT